AGAGTGTCTGGGAAAGCACTTTCAGTTCTTTATTCTGGCCTTGGAGCAATCTTTGCTAACGCCTACAATGTATTTCAAAATTATGTGGGCACCCCAAAATCAACATTTACCAAGTAACTGCTCCTTCCAACTCCATGCCATGAAACTCTCCTCAATCGATTCCTCAATGTCTTTAACATACCACCGAAACTTAAAGGCAAAGGTCGCGATTAGTTGACCAAACCAGCCCTTTCGATCATGCTTGTACTTGGGTACATACCCGTAGAGATGTTCCTACACTCAAAACCCGAAGCGGCACAGTAATAAGGCCGCAGGGCATGTACTATGCGCTATCGCCGCCTGGACCCGTTACGACCGCCCACCTTGGGATGTGGTGCATGGCTGACAAAACGTGTGAAATCTGCTAGGTCGATTGCCGTATCAACCGATAGAATGACTGATATCTCCAAAAAACTCATTTGTACGTGCCTCTTCCTCAAGCCAGCCTCCTTTATTGCAAGTGGGAAAGTGGGTTTTGTTAATGGCCTTGTCGACGGGTTTTCTCAATTTTTTCTCCACTGTCGTTCTACTTCGCATCTCTATACTCAGTTTCAATCGCTATAATAGTTCCTTATTGAGCCCGACTTTTGCCTTTAAGCAGATGATATCGCCCTACCTTGGTAAAAAAAAACTTGGATGGAATCTTTTTTTTATTTCAAAAGTATATGGACACTTAACAAAAGGCAGAAGCTTATTGGGCGATTTTAGAAATCAGTAGGGCCTCCGGAGTTTCTGATTAGCTTGAGCATTCTGTCCTGCTTAGCCTCCGCAGTTTAAATATCTTGTCCGGCATAATTTAGAGCACGTTTGCGATAGTTTCTTCGTCGATGTCGGCCCAAGATCCTCTATCGCCGTCTTCAATTCATCCGTGGTTCTGTTCCGCCTCTTTCCGTTGTTAAAGTAAACTCGTTGACCAAGAGCTCTATAGGGTTGCAGTAAGGAGATCATACAAGGCTTTTTTGATAATCCTCACTGTTCATATGCAATGATTGGAGGGCCGGTTCCCACTTTACGTAGCTTGCGAAGCCGCCCCAGGCCATCAACAGGCCTCCTTCGAAATTCTTTCTAACGAACGCGAGCGGTTTACCGCCAAGCCCCTCCAATAACGATGAAATCCGTCCTGCCGGTCAGATCGAACTCGTTGTATGAGTTAGGATTATCTAAGAAGAAAATGTGCATGAGAGTTTGTTCGTTTTGAAAATACAAAGTTCTCGAAAAACCGCGTCCTATGCCGCTGTCCTATCCTATGTTGGCATGTTTTTACGAACTGACTCAAATTTGCTAACTTGAACTGCCCCTTGAAGTGAACAGCTTTTCCCAGCGTCTATCATGGTATATTCATTTGAGCGAATGAGGCGCTAAATGGCCGTTCTCAAGGCTGGTAAACTCTTCTGATGGTGAGCTCGAACAGACAATCAAGATTTCGACAGGATGCGGGCTACTATTCTGTTGCTCTGAGCAGTCAAGCAGCGTGGATGGTGGGGAGTGTGTGCTGAGTATATTCATCTTCAAGAAGAAGTATGCCACGATTGGGCATAATGATGAAATGAAAACAGCAAGATCGGGCCGTAACCGGTAGGAATTTCAGGGCCAAAATATGATCGTCTTAGAGTGTCCACATATTTTTGAAACGAAGAAAAAATTCGATTTAATTTTTTTCTACGAAATTAAGGCGATAATATCTGCCTGAGTTCCTACTACACAGGGGGCAAAAAAAAATAGTCACTCTGCCCATGGCGCACATCATCCAATTTTCCTTCGTACAGAATGCCACTGTTGATGAATGTTTCACAGCGGGAGCTTAGGTGTCCCTGCACAAGCAGAAAAGGCCCTTCTTCACTGATCCCACCGTCTTTAGAATGTGACTTCATCTGCCGTCATCATCGAGCTCAAGGAGATTACCCTAGTTGCTGCTGCTTGAAGGTACTACACATTTTTTCAATAGATTACATGGTGAAGCTTTTCAGAGCCACTAGCTGTGACTCTGCAAGGCTTTTGATCAGCGTTTAACACGTTGACGACAGCGTGACGCAGCGAATCATTTCTTTTACTTGCTTTTGTGTGAATTAATCCAAGGTCTTTGTACTCATTCTATAGGCCACATATTAGCATACTCAGAAGTCACACGGCTTACAAAAAGACCTAATATTCTTTAGTTTAGCAGAGGTTTTCCAGACCTAATGGATATGTCTGTTCAGTCCGTTCCTCGTTTTCTTCTCACTAATACAAACATGTTGATAAAAAGTAATGATAGAAGCGAAAACAAACCTTTTCGTATAGGAAGATATGTGTTTTTAGTGAAACAACCACGTCCAAACTAATTACAGAACCACTAAAGGAAAAGTAAGTGGAACACGCCTTTTCTTAGCCTCAAGACATCATTTCAATGACTCCCATTGATGTAACTATCGATAAGTTAGACGGATTGAAATTTATTGTAAACACTTTGTCGCATCTAAGTACTGCGTATTTAACCCTTTCCGGACCGCCTGACACCCATAGGTGTCAGGGTTGATTTTCCCAAGGTTTCGGTTTTTCAACAAAGTGTTCCATGTTGTTACATATCTATGTAACATACTCACGTCGAACGTATGGAGAAACCTAAGTCTCAGATCTCAAACTATTAGGTCGGTCCCCACCGCTGGGTCCCCAATTTTCGAGAACCTTTGGTGTTTTTTGATTTATTACTTATCTATTTCTCTGATCTACTTATCCAGCATTGTATGCATCGTTATTATTAACAACATATCACCAATGCGAGGGTGGGTGCCTCTATTGTAGAATTTCATAGAGTTCTGATCGAAGGAAAATTGTAGTCCCGAATCAATTCCCAACCCATTGTGACATCATCAAGTTCCTCTTGGTTTCCCATAGTTCCTTCGTATGACCATCTATAATACTCCATTCCGTTTGGTGCCATTTCCATTGTAGTTGAACTTGACACCTTCTCCAACCTCCCTAGCCTCACCACCTTTCCGTCGCTACTCCTGAAGGCATAGGAATTGGATGTTCCTGCGAGTCATTAGATCAACAACCTCTCGGGAATTTGCATTCAACAGTCCTATGTTTGGTGTTCCAATTCAACCAGGTTCTTTAGCCGAGGCCCTTCACTCCTCGGTAGCGCTCGCATACTTACCACGGAACTCGCGCGGGTGTTATGCGCGCCACTTCGGATGATGTCCTAGCTTACTGATACTGATACCTTCACTGATACTTTTGCGACTTTTACATGTTTAGTTTGACGGGACCTTCATTAGCGGGTCTTTCAACCTGGGCCTGACGCTGGTACTAGACCCATTTCTGCTACTTCTGCAGGGCATGGTTTTAAGCCTCGGCAAGGATCGAAATCACGGTTTTCCAAAGGTGCAGACACTCAACTTCTTGACATTTAACGTGTCTACACTTTTACCCACTCGGCCAACCCTGCCCTGTATTTTTGTTATGCCTAGCATTGTTGCCTACACTTGCAGATTTCGTCGGAAGGCACCAATCTATGCTCTTTCCTAAAGGCGATGCTGTCATTGCGTTCTATTATGGCAAGAAAATGCAACATTGAAGGGTGATGCGTTGTGCCACGAGCTTCACCTAACTGTCAACATGCTGATGTAAGCTGTAACACTGAGAAGGAAATGAAGTTTCCCTTCGAAAAAAAAACGAAAGGAGATTTCTTTCCGCGTGGGTAGCTTATAGTTTTTTTTCAGAAGCCTTTGTAGTGCGCCTGACCTGGTGCTTACACTATACAAGCCACATGCGTGCCACTAACCGCAAGAGAAATTGAAAAGAGCAGCCATCAAGACTTTGTACTGGCAGAACACCTGATTTGTGCAGCACAACAGCATTAGATATTGGTCCGGCTCACACCGCCACTTGAACCTCTGGCAATTAGAGATCTACGGTATTAAAGAGATATTTCCGCTTTACTTCCGTGCTTTCAAAATCCGTCCACTTTTTTTTTCCAAAACGGCCGGAGGTAGGGAGAGGGAAGCAAATTGGTATACGGGTGAAAGCGGTCTTGCACCGTCACAGCTAGTTTCTCTAGAAACTATTCACCAATTAATCGGTTAAAGAAATCATGTGGCAGCTTCAGGCCGGAGCGATTGCGGTAAGCTCGACCTCGTTGAGCTCGACGGTGACGGCAGATGACGTCACATTCTGAAGACGGTGGGGCCTGCTTCTGCTTTTGGGGGGACACCTAGGGAATATTCTGCCGTAAAACATTTATCAACAACTTCATGCTGTGCGACGAATAATTTGTACGATGTTGTGCGCCATGGGCGAGGAGACTTTTTTGCCCCCTCTCAATGTATTGAAACGGCCCATTCGCCAATTTTGTCTAGCCGACGCTCTTTCGTGAACTTTTCGCCAAAATGGTTCAAAGACCATCAAAGACACTTTTTTGCGACCCCGGTAAGCACTTTTTACAGATCTAATTAACCTTTTTCGTCCCAAATGCTACTCCCTTCTCAAAACCACAGAGGCTACGCCCTCGTTCGAATAGTGCGGATGGACAGTTAATTCTGTGCAGTGAATATCTGCCAGAGCGCTCCCACCGCCTGAGGCAAAGGCTGGTTTCCACGAAAGGCGATGGTCCTACTGTGATTGGAGTTTTGTGAGCAGCACTTAACGGTCCTTCACCACTCTCCCACTGTGACCACGATTCAGCCGTGCACTGTAACTGTCCTCCGTAAACTTCATCTATTGAAGCGGCGAACTGTGTTGCAGAATGGCACTGCTCTGTGTGTAACTAGGGCAAGGATGGTAAAATTTCAGAGCAAAACTGGAATACACTGCTTCATTCTGGCTTCCCCATTTCCACTTTATCAGGACCTTCAACTTGAGGAAATTTTGCTCATATGACTTCATGCAGCCCTGTGTTTGAACTTTTTTAAACAGCGCAGCAAAAAAGTGGGGTCCACCAAACCACTGAAGACTAAGATAATCAATCATATTTACCACAATATTTATGGATATGGTGGTTGATCATACGAAGTCATACGCTTCATAAGCCTAGTGCTCAATTCAAAGACACCTACATGTTCAATTTATCTTGGTTAGATAAAATTATAAGGGTTCCCTCGTCGCTCTTGTTTTCCCTAGCAAGGATTCCATAATGTATTCAGAACAATTCGAGCTCGAACTTACAAAATCTGGCCACGTCACAAAATTCCATTCATCGCTAGCGTCTGTTCCTTCTGTGGTTCCGTGTTCTGTTTCTGTACCTCCTGGCCCTTCTGTCTTCTTTCCAGCAGGAATTCCGTCTCTAGTTGTTTCTCTTGGGAACGTGACTGCTTCTTCTGGTACTTGACCAGGAGTACTCTCTTGTATTCTGCTTCCTTCGGTTCCTTCCGGTTCTTGTTTTTCCGTGGTTCCACTCTGACCAACGTCTTCTGTCCTCCGTGTAAGACGCTCTGGGAACGGCGTCATGAAATCCCATCTTATGCCGTCGTCTGTGGTTGTGTGTTCGCTTCCTTTTACCGTTACTATTACCTGGCTGACTTTATTGACTGATTCAGTTGTGGTTTCTTCTGGCTCCTCAGTGGTCGTCGAAGGGAACTCCACTTCATGGAAAGCATTAAGCGATTCATTTTTCTTGGGATCGATCTCTTCATCTGTCGGCTTTGGTATTCGTGAACACAAGAAGGGATGCTTGTCATTAACGTTTCGCAACCACAGCGTTCCTTCTAAAAGGTCACGTCCTCGTTTCATACGGAGAGTTATCGCGCTCTCATCCGTTGCTCCTCTTTTCACAATAACGTGGCTTGCTAAATACGTAAGAGTTAACGTAATCGTGTATCAGTCGCTTCTTTCCATTTTATCCAAATTACCCTGCAGGATCCTGATCCTACCCTTCGCTATCTCGAGGAAGGCTATTTGTTTTCCTATAGCTCCCTTTGAGATGATCCAGAAAACGCACATAAAGAGGATGGATAGTAAAATAATGAATGAAGCATGCTCAAGGCTTGGTTTGAATTTCTGCTGCCAAAGCTTCACGTTTTGTGTCGCACGAATGTCACGAGATCATGATTAATATACTTTTGGATGTTCCCAGAGTGAGAGCCTTCTGAAGTTCTTGAAATGAGTCTTGAGGGTTCGTTCGCGCTCTACGCCGCTATCATATGTCAGTGGAATTACCAAGGAGCCTAACCATACAGTCATTAAAGCATTCGCGGGCGGGGGTGGGCGCCACTCTGTCCGCCGCGTGGGGCAATGACACCCAAAAACATTATAAATGAATAACGACATGGGAAATTAAGCGCGACCATGTTCGGTTGCCATAGCTTGCGCTCATTCTCAAGGATCACACTTGATTTTTGCTCTCAATAAAGGCTCAATAAAGCATGTGATTAACCAAACAGTCAACTTTACCTCTTTTGCTTCGCATTTTTAGTGGAACTGGGCGATGTGCATCCACATAATCTTTAGAAACTTTTGTCCAGACTTCCTTTTTCAGACTCTTCACAAGGGCTTCAAAATATGTGTGTTAAGAATTGCAAACTATAGAAGAAAGTGCAGACTATAGAAAGTATTGGGTTGAACATAATTCGTAGCGGTCCTGGCTCTGGCCTCACTGTGGATCCTCACAAGGGCTTCAAAATATTAGTGTTGAGGGAAAAGTGGTCTGAGGAAAAACTTAAAAACATACAACTAATCACTGATTATCTTTTCGTCTTCGACTTTGGCAACATTTTGATGAGTCACCGCATTCAGAGTAAAAAAAGACGGTTTTTTCAGCAGTTCCAAAGTGTTAAGAACTCCGCTTCGGGAGCTTTAGTCTTCATTGAAGCCAAAGAATAGCATGCGCCGATTACGCCCTCTGAACTTCCCAAAATTCAGAGCATTGAATCGGAGTTTAATTAAACTCACATTGAATGAATTTACACGCCTCAAAAAATAACGCCACGATATTATGCTGCAGTTCAAAATTTGGGTCTGTTTCGAAACGGGAGAGCGGCATGCAGTGCGTTAATTGTTATCGCCTCAGTAATCCTATTTTTCCAGGAGCAGGAAATCTTCGGAATGCGAGCATCATTTCATTACCGCTCTTCCATCCATTCCGGATCTTCTTTCGCTTAAGAAAAATGAGATTACTGTAGGCTGAACGGATGTTGCACCACATGCCCGCTTCCTCTTTCTGAGATAGCACCCTACTTTTTCTGTAGAAAGAATAAAATTAAAGGCATCATCAGGACGGCTAGAGGATGGTGCTTTGATGACGTCATTGGTGGGCTACACTCCTCTGCATTGTGCGCAACAAATGTTCAGCGTTGAATTCTTCAATATGTACATAAGCCATTGCATACGCGAATAAAAATATCACTCATTTTACCAAATTTGTAATTAGTTTAGTTAGAATCTTGATGTGCCACTTACCAAGAAAGGTCATTTGGTCAACCCGGCCAATTCAAATGATACACATATGTCCGTACGCGACACTTGGGACGCTGAGCTCAAATATGTGTTCCTTGTCTGCTAAACTCTTCTCTGAAAGGAATTATGAAGCAGAAAAGCGCAGAGGCAGTAGTCGAGGCTCTCAAAAAAGGGGTCAGGGGATCGAATTCTTGGCGAGTTTAATTTTTGCCGTTTGCAGTAAGATAGTTAGAAAGATCCCTAACATCGCCAGTCGAACATGCTTGCGTATAGCTGAAAGTACAAAGAAGTTAAGGGCAATTATAATAATGAACTCGGGTGCCATCGCTCCTCACTACTTTAGACGCTTATAGCGCAGGCGCCAGGCATTTTTCGTTCGAACAAGTATGATGTTGGTAATCAGGGAGTCGGACTCTCCCCTAGGGTTAACTTCTAGCCAATTCTGAAGTTTTGACCTAACCTCGAAAATTCGGGCAGTCACTTACTCGCTTATCCACCAATCAATTACTGGAACCTGGCACTGAGGTAGAACAAACCTTCGAAACACTCTTCGGAATAGAAGCCTGTCTGCATCATCCGAAGATTTGCAAGGCACTATTTCCAAATAGAACCCCTTTCCCCCGTCGTCTGTGATTGTGGTCAAATGTCATTGTCAATCAACTATTGGAGTGGTAACCCTATCACTGCTCCGCTTTTCCTCACCTAGTTCATGACCTCAGGTTTGGCGACAGACTCGTTTCTGGAGGTTGTTTGATCCCCTGAATACGAATATCGCAACTACTTGCCAAGGGAAAGTCTTGCACCTGCACTACGGGTGCCTTGTACACTAACGGACAAGTAGCGCTCGAACTTAAGAGAATTTGCTTGCAAACTCTTTGTAGGTACGGCGTCGGGCAACCGTTGATAGTATAATGGATTCAAAAAGGCTTTTTAGCTATGTTCAAAAAGAGCAAAACACCATACTCCGCAGAGAACCGAACCCGCAACCTCTTCCTTGAGAAGCAAGACTGCTACCATGTGCGCTACCGAAGCTCACCATATCGGTTCCCGGTTCTTCTTTCGAGACTTTTACAATGGAGCTAACATGTGATTGCAGGCAAGACACCGAAAACCAAGGGTGGCAACAAAAACCCTCCGTAACTCCTTTCAGAGAAGAGTATAGCAGACAATGAAAGCAGATTTGAGCTCACTGTCTCATGCTGCGAACAGAAATGTGCACCTCATTTCATTTGGCCGGCTTGGCCTAATGACCTTTCCTGGCTAGTCGGTTCGTAATTGTGACTATCGGTACCCCTTTTGTCCTATTCCCCTCCACGTAAGTCGAAACGCAGACGTAGCTTCAGTCGATTATCAGAAATCATAGATAATATTGATTTATTTCGAGACATCATTTATGCTGATGCTGCATTGCAAGACATATTTAAAGCAGCAATTCAAGAACGAACTCGCGGGCAAAACCGCCTATAATGAAGTTGTAGGTGAAAAGCTAACCAATAATGAAAGAAAAAGTTAAAAAAACGTCGAACAGGGACTTAGAAAGGGACCCCTCCTCTGCCGCTTAGCGATGGGGGAAGACGCGTGCTGGACGAGTTGTCTGAGCCTGCGCCAGTGAATGCGCTACAATTACAATTGATGGGAGATGGCCGCAATGGCTGGCTACTTTTCATGTTTTGAAGATAGAAGGTAGAAGGAAAAAATGTGGAAGTCCAGCTAGTCAGCATCATCGCATTGATTGCTTTGAAGGATCGAGTTCAACTATCCCTGTGGCTCCAAAACGAGCATGAATGCCTCCGCAGCCAATCACGGCTGGCAAGTGGGAATTTCCGGCCACACCCATCTTCAAGGAGTTTGATGCCCTTTTTGCGACTTTCAGAGGTGAGTTCTGTAATGTTTACACTTCATATGTTCTCCTCTAGGGCTACTGCATCCTTCAATCCCAATAGTATTGAAAGCAACAGACCCTGCTTGGACTGTTCTATAGGACACATGGCGATGACGCCGAGAAAATCAATATCACCTATATTTTCGTATGCATCCGACAGCCCGATATTTGATAGTTAAATCTGTGCAGCAAATCTGCATTTGAGACCGCCCCGAGACGGGAGGAAGCCTGTGACTTTTGTTCATTAAATACCTGGCTGTAAAAACGATGGAATACGTATGATCAGGGATGTTCGCTAAGAGAACTAGGAAACAATTTGGTTTGGCAATATCAATCCATCGAGTTGTTGTGATCGTGGTAACCCTCCTATCCATTAACAAACCTTTAGTTACTCCAGGGGCTGTACCCAGCATATCTGGCCGAGAGGGTATACACTGCGTTGCATAATATAGGTCCACGCCTATTTTTGCTATTTCCAAAGTTGCTGTGACATTTTTTGGACAAATGCCGCTATTACCAAATAGTTTCCCATAACAAAAAACCTCGATACTTGATTTCTCCGGGAAATCTCGAGGCACAGAATTATTGAAATATCCCGTTCGAACTATTTCTCACCGTTTCGCAAACTATGACTACACATCACTCTGTCGCAGAGATATTACTATAACGAAAAAACGTCACGAATTTTCAATAATGGGATAACCCACCAATAGCAGTCATAAGGGAACACAACAATACGTTGTGTGAAATGCCTGGTAGCCAAATTAAGCTATGTACTAGGATCGAAATTGTTCTGAGGGCGCCGATGATCGACCTTTCAGCTTTCGGCGGCCTCCATTTTGTTTACTTTGCTGTGGAACTTTAATCAACAATTAAGCCAATGATTTCTATTGGAATCAAGTTCAAAAGACTGGGTGCCACAGACGACTGCCACATTTTCTCTCTGGCAATTCAATCGGGCGCAGAGGAGACCGGCATGGCGCAGCCGCGATATCCGTGTGCTGAAAATCAAAGGATAGAGGGGATCCTTGTTGAAAAAATGGTAGACTCGCTTTGAAAGAACTTCACGATTACCTGGGAATTTTTTGACGGGAAACAAAAGCGAGCTCTACGTACTCAGTCGTTCCAAAGGTGCTCAAATCCATTAAGGATTTCACCGCCAAATTACGTTTATATTGAAACCATCTGCGATTTTCATATCGATTGCGCAATCAGCCTGTTACCCTCTTTTTCTGCCACCCAAAATAAAACTTTTGGACGATCGATCTCAGACCTCCTGTAGAACGAAACCAAAGGAGCGTTAGAGTCCAAGATCTCGAAGGTCTGAACAGTCACACCATCGCTCATAAGTGAGCCCTTTTCCACGTAGAAATGGAGACTTGCGATCTTTGAGCGCCAAATAATCTATGGGAACGCTCTTCATCAATCCGATTGACGATGTTTAGTGCTCTGCTGGCTGACTCACCACCCCCCCCCCCCCAATCGGTGGGTTTTGCTCACGGAAGGCCGTCATGTTCACGTACGGACTTTTGTTCGAACTCCTTGTTATAATGCGAGAGAAGACACCCAATTCTCTATGATTTTGAAGTAAACGCACTCCTTTATGATTACCCAGCGACTTCGTCCTCTCGCCACTGAGGCAGAATTTTGCACATTAGTCGCTTATGCAGTTATGAACGCCGAGCCAGTGGAGGAAATTCTGCTCCTCAGCCATCCCACTTCAGTAAGTCTCATAGCTTGAGCTTTTATACTGGGAGAGAGGCGAATAACACGAGGATAATGGTGAACTCGAGGTCGAACTGAGCCCTCTGATTTCCCCGCTTCCCTAATTCCCTTCACAGATCGTGAGAAATGGAAACTTTTTATGAGCGACCCGATTTCCATGAAACGGTGAAAATTCGTTCTGAAAAAGTTAATTGGGTTACTTGAAGGGGGAACTTTATCAGAAAAACACTATAAAGGTTTTCCATCATGAGGAATCTAATGGTGATACCAGCATTTTCGAAAAATGCACAGCAACTTCGGGGTAACAAAAATTTAGGGTGGACCTATATTTATGAAACGCAGTGTATCACCGTAAATCTCCGGGAACATGTCGCCCGGCGAGAGTAGGGGATTCAACACATTCTGGG